CATATAAACTTAGCTTGTTATTCCTGTCTGGCCTTTGCATCTGTCAGAACATCTTCATTATGTTGTGTGCTAATTTGCTGTTTACCATCTGTCTATATGTATGGACTGTTAATTTCCATTTCAATGTATCTGAGGAAGTGTGCGAGCACACAAAATCTCATACCTTGAATAAAACTTTGCAGGTCTTAAAGGTGCCGCTGGACTCAGACTTTGTTTTACTGCTTCAGACCAATACGGCTACCCCACCTGGATCTTTTTTTTTTTAACCTGATAGCGCTTTTAGATCATATAAAGAACAGGTTCAGTTACATGTTGCTTATCACATATTTAAGTTAGTGTTATATATTCTGAAGTCACACCAATCTAGCTGAGCTATTGGTATTGGGCATAGGACTGACCAAACTGAGAATCTCAGGTTTTTCAGTTAAAAAGCAGGTTTCTAGTCTCTCAAGACTGAGAAATCTCAACTAGTTTGTGGGGGAGAGCAAAGCAAGATTTCCAGTGGTAGGGGCAAGGTTTTCAGTACATTATGTAACTCTTTGGCCTATCACTAGTAAAAACAAACCAAATCACCACAAACAGAAAGTCTATACTTTTCTTGGCATTAAATTTTGATATGTTTAGACCAGGCTGTACATTATGCTGGTATTAGGATATTACTATAGTGAGAGTTAAACAGACGTTATGTACTTAATACATTTAAAGAAGCAGTAAAGAAACTTTCCTACTGAAGTTATCTTCTGCAGGATTATGACCATTTTTTTTTCAAACAAGGACAATTCTCATCTTAAAAATATACAAAAAACACATACATACACACACCCTAGACATTTAAACAGTTCAGCTAGGATGAATGCTTCCCTCTAGTGGATATATGAGGTATTTAACATGATTTTAAAACTAAATAACAGATTAGTGGATGAAGATGAGTAGCCGTGTTAGTCTGAAAAAGTGACTAAATTTTGTTAGTCTTTAAAGTGCTACTGGACTCTTTCTCTTTTCTACTGCAACAGAATAACACTGCCAAATATTCATAATTATTGCCTGTGAAAGCAAACTACTTTTTATGCATCTAGCACTTTCCCCTAACTGTTCCTTAAACACCCCTCCATTTTTAACCAGCAGTCTGAGAATTCAGCACAAGAACTCTTCAGAAATAAATGTCAGGGGATTGGGAAAATACTGCATTTTCAACTACTCTGATTTCAAATTTTGAGTGGTGTATGGGGGGGGAGGCACAAAGAGATTTACAGCCTCAAGTGTTTGTATTAGGGTTGCCAGGTCCACTTACCTGGCTGGCGGGGGGCTCCCAATGTCCTTCTGGGAGACTGGAAATGATGTTGGGAGGCCCCACCACATTGGTGTCACCCAGAAGTGATGGCATTGTGCCAGGGACGTTGGAGGGCGCTCTGGTTTTTGAGCAAAACTCTATGGTAAATTTGGCTTCCAACTATAGGGTTTTGCCTACAAACCAGAGCGTCAGCCCCCTGATGTCCTCAACATCAGGGCCTGCAGTTTCGGTTTTACCAGACGTCACCTGAGAAGGTCAGTTGGGGGCAGGATGTCCCCCTGGCAATTGCCTGCAAATGCAGGGGTTCCCCTGACCCCACTGGGGGACTGGGAACCCTAGTTTGTATGTTCTTTTCTGTGCCCAGCCCTGGACTTTAAAAGTGCTAGAAACGAATAGCTAGGGTTGCCAACTCCAGATTGGGAAATTTGTAGAAATTTTTTTGGGGGGGAGCCTAGGAAGTCAGGGTTTGGGGAGGGGAAGGACTTAGCTGGCCGCACTGCCATAGAGTTTGCCTTCCAAAGCAACATTTTCTCCAGGGGCACTGGCCATTGTCAACTAGAGATCTGTTGTAATTTTGAAAATTTTTGTAAATCCTCAGGCCCCAGCTGGAGTTTGGCAATGATACTAGTGGCTTCTGTTATTTGTCTATCATCTCCCCAAACCCTGTACTTCTAAGGCTCCACCCCCAAATCTAGCTTGCTGTTGGTCCACCTTTGTGAATGCTGAAGGAAACTAAATCTCTTTAAGATCTCCTAAGAAAGTGCTTTGTTATGCATGAAAAGCAGAAAGATCGTAGGCACTATTACCAGAGAGCATAATTATTGCTTCAGTGCTTTTTATTTATATCAACATTATCCTGTAAAATGTGTATTATCACATATATTACAATCAAAAATTATACAGTTGGTAGCCACGGGTGGGAGTTCCACTGTCAGAGAACAGACTGAACCTGCCCATTCTTCTGGCAGACATTGGAACCAGTGAGATACATTTATACAGTTTTTTCCTACTTTGATTTCCCACCCCTATGTGTAGAATAAACCCTGTTGGTATTTTGGGTTTGTGAAGAGTTGAGAGGTTAGAAAAGGGCCTTTGGGCTTGTTTTAAAGCTGCACTCTATCTTTTGGTTTCCTCCAGGTAATCCTCCTCTGCCCGCCTGTGGAAGCCAGTAGCCTAGAGGCACCACTGTTTTCTTGCTTCCATCCTTCCTTCTCATTAACTAACCCAGGCCCCATAATTTCTTCCCTTAGCTGGGGGGGTTCATGAGAAAAAGGCGGGATTGCTTTAAGACAGAAATTGTTGTTTTGGCCTGCATAACTAGAACATGGGCTCTTATCAGGCTGTCAATGTGTAGAATAGGGTTGCCATTACCCCAGTTAGGGTGGGGCATCCCTGCCCCCATCCCCTGAGAATTCTTTAAAAATGGCACATCAGTCCTCTCTAGGGATCACTGAAAACACTATGGTTTTACCATAATGCTTCTAGTGATTTGTAGAGATGTGATGTCACTTTCTCCAGAAGTGGCATGACATAATCGCCAGCAGCTCCTCTTCGTATCTCCACCCCGCCCCCAGTCTCCCACTGATTGTCAGGCCAGGCCTGGTAACCCTAGTGTAGAATCAGTGAGTTGCACAGAAATATCAGTGCTTTCGAGAATTACTCATATGTGGGCTGAATGGGCACATGCTTGTGAATGGCTCTCACACCAAATATCCAACATCAAGTCGCCCGTAGCTGGATTTTAAGGTCAGCTGAAGTCTTCACTCCATGACTTGTGACAGTGACACAAACTACAGTGTTCTTTTATACCATGGAAAATGTTAAAAGAACCCATTGAAAGGAGATAGGCCCCACTCTGCATGGATCCCAAAACTGGTTGGATCCCTCCTCTATAACTTGCTTAGCATATGAGTTTATCAGGGTTCCCAGGTGCCCCTTGACAACTGGCAGGTGGTGAGGAGGACTTACCAGCAATGGAGCAGGCCTACTTTGATGTGTTGCAGCGACATCTGGTGCACACAGGAAGTGAAGTCATTACATCACTGGTGATGTGGCAATGCTCTGGTGTTTGTGCAACAACTCTATGGTAGAAGCGCTTTTTACCCTAGTGATTCTGCCCAAATACCAGAGTGTCACCGTGTTGCTGGTGACAAGATGACATCACTTCTAATGTGTGCTGGAACCAGGCTATTTTTGGGCAGGAACGCACAGGAATGGAGTTCCAGCTGGCTTCCGAGCCCGCCCCTCCCCTCCCCGCCCAAAGCCCTGCTGTTGCGGTATTTGAGTGCATAGCTTTTGCGTCAAAATTGCTTCTCTTGCAATTCTGAATTTCACCACTAGATGCCTCTGCTGTGCTTCCCCGCTAACTGGTCACTGCAATGCCTTGCTTCTCAATGCTCACTGACTGAGACCTCTGATTTGAGAAAAGACTGAGCTTGGGGTCCTGTTTAGCTGTGAGACGTTTGCCGCATACGGTCCTTTCCCCTCATTTTGAGGCTTGGTTTCAGTGTACTAAGCAGGTAGAAGAAGCAGCAGTGTGGCCTAATATTCTAATGAGTTTCTGCTGTTGGTTGTGGCCTGTTATGCTAATGCGTTCCTGCTGGGCTTTTTATTCAAAAAAAAGCTCTGGCTAGAAGTAATGTCTCTACTCTGCTGGTGACTCTGGGCTAGGGTTCTTTTTGCTGCTGGCAGCATGGCTGGAAGGAAAGGCAAGCCCCCCCCCCCCCGCTGCTGGTAAGTCCCCCCACCAGCTACCTGATGGTATCAAAATGAAGAACCACTGTGATAAAATTAACAATAACATTTAACTCTCATGAACACTAATAAAAGCTTTTGCGAATAGAGCTTAGAAAATTCTAACATATTCAAGAGAAAGTCCAAGCATCCTCTATGAGCACCCAGTTTTATACTCATTTCAACAGTCTTCCTCAGGAATCATCCAGCTACTATTTGAAGGAACCAAAAAAGTTGTTAAACTGTATCAAGAGGCTGACTCCTTCTAACAAAACAGGACTACTACTGAGGAAGACTGTTGAAATGAGTATAAAACTGGGTGCTCATAGAGGATGCTTGGACTTTCTCTTGAATATGTTAGAATTTTCTAAGCTCTATTCGCAAAAGCTTTTATTAGTGTTCATGAGAATTAAATGTTATTGTCAATTTTATCACAGTGGTTCTTCATTTTGATGTTTTCATGTATTTCCCGTACTGTGATCCTTTCCTTGGTTCTCTTTAGCTACCTGATGGTGGCAGGGGACATGGCCTGGGGCTGGGGGATACCCCACCCTCAGCGGGGGTCTGGCAACCCTACATTGAGTTTAAAATGGCTTCTAAAAAAGATGTACAATGGAATACACACAAGTGTGTGTACAGGCAGTGTCCTAAATGAGCATGTGTGCATGCATACGCACCAAAATTAGATTAGCATGTGCATAAATGGCAGATTTTTGCAAAAGTAAACACTCCTTCTGCATTCACAGCAGTGGAACGATGCCAGTGATGTTCAATCCCGTTGGTTCTTTATCAGTTGATTTGCTTACTTCGTATTTGCATTTCCCCACCCTGTTTTCATTATGCTGATTGGCTGCAAGCTGAGCCGATGCAAATTTTCTTTACAGTTAATCTGACTACCTATCAGTCAGGGAAGCAAAGCCTGTTGCTCAGAGTGACCTGAGAGAGGGGTCACAAGCTGAAAATAGAACAAGTCAGAAGAGGCCACGGACAAACAAGCCCTCCTCAGTCCATAGAGTTTTGAGGAAGAGCATGACTTCTGGACTGCAGGTAAGCAGCTATTTAATTGCTTGAGACTAATAGAAAGGGGAGAGGAGAGACTTCAAAAACATTAATTAGGAATCTGGATGAAAAATATGCTTTTTGGGGGGGGAATGTAGGAGAAAAACAATAAACAGATCAGGCCATTTCTTTTAAAAGATTGCCTAGCATAGTGTAAGTTTGTATCTTTTGTGAGCAACATCACTACAGATTTTAAAAATCCATTAAAAGGAGACATCACAGATTTAATAGTCAATCGATCTCTGTTAACATTCCTCTCTTTGGTCCAGAAAGCATCAAAACCTTCCACATACTTTGCATGTGTTGATTCATTTATGAATCCACCCTTAATGGTTCCATGAACTGGTGATTTGGCAAGTGGTTTAATTGCAATGGAGGCTGTAATATTTATTGTTTATCTAATGCTTTTTAGGAGACAATATAAGAACATAAAAACATGAGAAGCCATGTTGGATCAGGTCAGTGGCCCATCAAGTTCAAGGCCCACCAAACATTAAGAATACAGAGCATCACTGCCCCAGATATAGTGTTCCATCTATACCTTGTGGCTGATAGCCACTGATGGACCTCTGCTCCATGTGTTAATCTAATCCCCTCATGAAGCTGTCTATGCTTGTAGGCCCACTACTTCCTGTGGCAGTGAGTTCCATGTGTTAATTACTCTTTGTGTGAAGAAGTATTTCTCCTGCTCATTAATTTCATTTTATTGCAGTCGCACACTGAATCAGCATCTTCAGTGAGTTATCTACCATGACTTTTCACCCTTTGTCATCCAAGAGCCTCCCTGGAACGTTTTCAGCTTCTAAAGCATTTGGAAAAAAAAATATTGTTGGTCTTTATGTTTTTGCAATATGTTCCTCATAGTCCCTTTTTGCCTCTCTGATTGCTGACTTGCATTTTATTTGACAAAGCCTGCACTCCCTTTTATTTATCTCAATTGGACAACCCTTCCACTGTTTAAAGGAACCCTTCTTACCTTTTACTGCTTCCATTACTTTGTTCGTTAACCATGCAGGCCTTTTTATATTCATACCTTTCCTAACCTGCAGAATACATTTTATCTGAGCTTCCAGTATTGTAGTTTCAAATAGTCTCCAAGATTCCCAAAGGGATTTGACCCTCCTTACCTTTTCTTTCAGTTTCTTCTTCACAAGCCTCCTCATTTGAGAGAAGTTGCCCTTTCTAAAGTTAAATACGGTTATGCTGGTCTTTTGGGGCCACTCCCTATTTATGTAAATCCTAAACTTAATAGCATTATGGTCACTGTTCCCAACTGTTGGTATTACATTTATATCTCTCACCAGGTCTTGAGCATTACTTAGGACCAAGTCTAGGATTGCTTCCCCCGGTAGGTTCTTTGACCATCTGCTCCATAGCACAGTCATTGAGAGTATCTAGAAAACCAATCTCTTTCTCCTGACTTGTGGAATGCATATTGACCCAATCAATGTGTAGGTAGTTAAAATCACCTAATATTGTTGGCAGAGTAATTAACACAGAAATGGTGCACTACCTAATTTAAGAGTAGATAAAGATTTATTTAGGAATTAACATACTTGACAGGAAAGAGGACAGACAGAGATAGATTCCTAACTACATCTCTAGCTGAGAAAGAGGGTAAGACTGAGTGTGGCACTTCCGAGAAGAAGGGGGAAATTGCCCTAAGAGTAACAATCTGGAGACAGACAAGGAATGACATTTAAAATTAGAGAAAGTACTGACCTCACTATTCTATCTAATTATCTTCTTGCTGCCCTTTGAACGGTCTTCTTCTTTTCTTTGTACACCAGTCATTGCCTTTTCCAACAATTATGACACAGTTATTTCATCTAGCTGCTTTCCTTAATTCTTTTGCTGTTTTTAAATCATCTTCTAACCTTTGATCTGGTGGGTGATAAACTCCCAGAGTTAAGCTTCTTTTGGGGCCCACTATTCCCACCCATAGCATTTCTGTAAGTGAACCTATTTCTCTTAGATTCTCAATTTTACTGGAATGTATACCCTCTCTGACATACAGAGCTACTCCACCTCCGACTCTTCCCTCCCTAGCCTTCTGATATAATTTATTTTCAAGGAACACTGTATCCCACTGATTATCCTCATCCCACCAAGTTTCTGAAATGCCAACAATGTATGTTCTCCTCTGACACTAAGCATTCCAGTTCCCCCATTTTACTTTGAACACTTCTAGCATTTGCATATAAACATCTATAATTCCCCAGACATGCTAGGCCTGCAGTCTTCCTCCTGTGGTCTCTAGAGACCTTGTCAGGCAGTCAATATTGTTTGTCAACCTCTCAGTGGCCAGTCCTAATCCATTTCCCTCTAGAACAGTAACAGCTACCTCTTCATCTCTTAGCAATTAGCCATCCCAAACCAGAGACATTTCATCTCCTGCCAGCTTTCCCCCAAGATTTACTTTAAAAACTGCTCTGCCAACTTTTTAGTGCCAGCAGCCTGGCTCCTTCTCAGGACAAGTGGAAGCCATCTCTTTTGTACAGGTCCTGCTTGTTTCAAAAAGCATCCCAGTGCCTAACAAACTTAAACCCTTCCCCCCTACACCATTGTTTCATCCACACACTGAGATTCCGAAGACGTGTTTGCCTAGCTGGCCCTGCATGTGAAATAGGCAGCAGTTTAGAGAAGGATACCTTGGAGGTTCTGGCCTTGAGTCTCCTGCCTAGCAACCTAAATTTTTCCTCTAGGACCACATGACTACACTTCCCCACATCACTGGTGCCAATGTGTACCATGACCACTGGCTCCTCCCCAGCACTGTCTACTAGCCTATCTAGACCATGTGGTACACAGCATAATATGATGTAAACATGAGTCTGAAAATGACAAGCCAGTGTGGTGTAGTGGTTAACAGTGTAGGTCTAAGTTCTGGAAGACCTGTTTGAATCCTCCCTCTGCCATGAAAGTCACCAGGTGACTTTAGGCCAGTCACTCTTTCTGTCAGCCTAAATTACCTCAGAGAGTTGATGGTACATGGGTAAAAAGAAGGAGGGGAGAACAATGGTATATGCTGTTTTGGATCCTCATTGTGAGAAAAGCATATAATAATAAATACATTTCTATAGGACCAGGTCTGTATATTTACTACCAAAAAGTTCGTTCTAAACTCTTTTCCCCATTGCTAGAACGTTTTCTAACCAAAACCACATGTGACCGTTTTCCTAATCAAAAGGAAAGCTAGGGGGAAATGACAAAGATAAGACTCATCTTCATTTTCTATTTCTTTTTTCCATTGTCTATTTTGTTTTTACAAAACAAGCTAGATCCTTATTAAACCCATGTTTTTAATTTGTATCCTGCTTTTCTCCTTGATCCAGACCCAAAGTGACTTTTCACATTGTTCCCCCTCCTCTGCCTTATCCTTACAACAACAACCTTTTGAAGTATGTTAGGATGAGATACTGTGAGGAGCAAAGGTCACCCAGTGAGCTTTAATTGCAGTGCAAGAGTTTGAACCTGTTGTCCCACATCCTGGTCCAATACTCAAACCACTATGCCACACCTATTCTCATATACCCAGCTGCACAAAACTTTAGTTCTCACTACACTGGCACTACCTCCTGGGGGTCTCAAGACATGGAAGGTTCTTTCTAATACCCATCTCAGATCCTTTCTCAGGGCTTGGACACAGGATCTTCTGCATCCAGCTCAAAATTGTATACATTTATTCATCCCCCAAATGCTGAACACGACAATCATGGCCTCAGGGCCGGCCCCAGCTTATTTTGCACCCTAGGCGAGGATCCCTTCTGGTGCCCCCCCCCCCGTGTGCCCACCATTTTTCAAAAATAAATGCATTTTAGGAAGAATGAAAAACACAAATAATCAAGAAACTCCCAGAGTATGAGGCCGGGTGCAGTTTGGCGCCCCTAAGGGCCAGCCCGCTCTAGGCGATCGCCTAGTTCGCCTAGTGAGTGAGCCGGCCCTGCATGGCCTGTCCCAGTGCCAGTAAATTCAAATTTCACAGTAGGCTTAACGCTCTGCCTTGCTTGACTGTAAGTCAAATTGGAATGGGTCAGATCCAACCCCTTTTCTAGTGCTGAAAAAGGAAGGAAGGGTCCTTTTGACAACCAAAAAAGGCTATGCACAGGATCACAAGACTTGCATGGATAAAACCATGGTTAGGGGCTGTAGTAAGGAAGGGAACTGGGCAAGACTGAGTGAAAAATCTGTTTGGCTCTAACCCAGTATATGCTTACTAAAACTGAAGTGTGGTTCCACTGAATTCCTGAAAGTCCTCCAAATACTAGCACACTTGTGCAGAGTCATAGGCCCCGGTCACACGAGAGGATTAGGGCCGGGAGAGGGACGGATCGGGGGTGGAGCAAACGGGCGCGATCCCACCGCAACATCTGGGAAGCGTTGCGAGCCCGTCCCCGATCCAGCCCTTCCGGCGATAATCTGCAGCAAAAAAGGACCACCTACCGAGGTGGTTCTTTCCAAACGGCCGCATCAAAGCCAGCCATGGGATCGCCGGCGCGTTCTTCCACCGGCGCATCCCTGGGTCCTGACCAAACTGTGCATGCTCAGACATGCGCAGTTAGGCAGCCTCCCGTGGCTTCCTCTCCGGCTTCCTCATCCCTGGGTCCTGACCGAACTGTGCATGCTCAGACATGCGCAGTTAGGCAGCCTCCCGTGGCTTCCTCTCCGGGGAGCAATTGCACGCGGCTCACGGGATCTGTATGATCCCGCCGCCGCGTGCCTATTTTGGTGCGGCTTTTAAAAGCCGCACTTTGCCCGTTCTTTTTGTCCCTCGTGTGGCAGGGACCATAGTTGAATAACCATCATGCAGGCTGACAATTTTGGTGTCCCAAATGAAGAGCAAGAAATGTCCATATATGCATGCACCCCTGGTTTGCCCTCCACGAGTCTTCAGCTGTATCCATTGGATATTGTGCAATCACTGCAGTATTGCCATAATTCATAACTTGGACTTTTTGAAACTGCAGTGGATTCCAGAAAGAGTTCTA